ATTTTTGCAATGGAATATGGATTTTGCAATTATGGGGCGGAGCTTATTGTAAAATCGATATTTCCTTATTCAATTTTTTTAAATATCATGTTGTGAAAAGAAGTCTACACATATTAAAACAAAAAGACAAAATGTAAGTTCGCCCACCCGCCCTATCTCAATTGTGATGGTTTGTTTATTCGCCATGAACCAAGGGGACGGAGCTTAACTGCGAAATACTTATTTCTTTACAAGAAATTAATAACATGTTTTTGAGTATCATGTTGTTCAAAGAATACTACCTATGTATATGGTAAATGTTTGTAAGGAAATATGATTTTGCAATTAGGTTCCGCCCCTAGGTCTGCCAACGAATGAAAACTTCATTACTATTTGGATCAGGGGAGGTATGGGTGGGGCTTAATCTTTGGCTTTAATTTTTTCTTAATATACTGGTAATTTCTTGTAGAGAAATACTACGAATTTTGCATTCAAATTCTGCTCCTTTGGCTCTCGACGATTAAAAAAAAATCATCACAATTGAGATAGGGCGGGTGGGCGGGGCTTTTCTAATATACGTAGTCAGAACAAGAAACTTAAAACATGTCTAAAATTAAAATCGCAAATTTTTGTAGTAATCAACTTAAATCCTCCACTTTTCTTCTACAACCCCTTTAAACACGGCAAAAGTTGAACATGAAAGATATAGTGAACCAAGAGTTATAAGGTTATATGGCCATCATAAAAGTAGTTGACCGCAAATAAATACCCCCTTTGTGTGGTTCGCACTAAGCTTACCGGTTGGCAATAAATCATCTTCTAAACATTTCTTGCCCATATTTAACAGGGCCGGCTCTCAAAGCGAGTGGTTATTTCGGAACTCTCAGCGGCTGCAGGTAGTAAAGAAATAGTGGAGTGGTGGATTTTCATATTTAGTGAAAGCCGTCCCTGAACGAAACCACAAGAGCCGGTCGAGCTGCAGTGGACACGTTATTTACGACCCTAAAACCTTTTCTATTGTAAACAACTTAACTTCGACACAATGGGATGATTTTATGATGGCCATATAACCTTATAGCTCTTGGTTCACTATATTTGCAATTGTAAAGTAACTTCATTTGACATACATCTGTTAAAACTTTTATGACTTAAGCGGCTTAAGCCAAACCACCCTAATAAGTCAAACTGGCTATTGTATTACTTAACTCAGTTCACAGCTACATTATGCCAACAATGGACAGTAATAATCTTGCGGTTCGGGTCCACAAAGCTTACAATAGCCAGTTTGACTTATAAGGCTGATTTGGCTTAAGCCGCTTAAGTCATAAAAGTTTTAACAAGTGTATGTCAAATGAAGTTTGTGTACTTAAATAAAATTTTTAGAAATCTTTCCACCCTTCTTAGATACAAATTAAAAGGTACAAAGTGACAACACCGCAAAGGTACAATGTGGTGGGTCCATCCAAAATTTTGGAACCTCCTGAACTCGGGACATGTAGGTAATAATTTTTAAAATGCACAAACTAGCACTACCGCTGTCCACTATTTTTTCCTGTCTTTATTTTGGGAAGATTGTATGTGAATTTCCATTTTCGGGAGTTTTTATTTTTTAGCATTAGCGATAATTAAATAGTAAGTTATAAAGTAATAAATAACATCATCAGATAGTGTCTGTAGCCCTCTGCAGCTCATCCTCAATTTAGATCCACCGTTTATGAACTGGGTATTCAATGATTGTGTGCTAATAACACTCCTCTTAAACTCAAGTACGGTCCTGTATTGTTCAAACAGAGGTTGGGGTAAGCAGACAAGTTTACACCGTTGGGTTGTTAAGCCGTCACAAAAATTAGTGAAAGTCAACAGACGCTTGAAGCCGAATCCGATTCATGCTTGTGGTCGTAGTTTATGCTTACTATAATGTTTAGTCCTAGAGTGATAAAAATAATTTCTACAGTTATTAATACAGTACTGTTATTTTATATTATTACGTATCATACTTCGTTCTACATGGTTCTACATAGTGTGTGGCTTATACGTATACTATGTTTTAAGTATACGGTGTGTTGTCTTTTTACGCACAAATATAAAATATACTTATACCTCTAATATACACAGTGAACCACTAAGCGCTCAGTCCTCGGTATCTCTCTAATTACTAGAAAAAAAAGTTACAAACTAAAGTTGTACAGTTTTTGAGCAGGTATTAAAATTATTTTCACTATATAAAGTGTTTTGTTTTTAAAGCTGAGCACAGAAATTCGATATTTTTAAACAGAACACCATATACTTATATCTTTACATATTCTCATTAACTTCTGCCTTGGCTTTACAACGATATATAATTTTTGAAATTCCGATGCGAAGTTGTCACGTTATTCCAATTTTCTTAAATTTTTTTAGCAATGCAAAGGTTAACAAAAAAATTGCAATAATGTTATTTTTAAATTGTGTGGTGCCATATTTTAATATACAGAGTTTTTAAAAAAAGTTCTAAAATGTTGCAACTTTCGTATATAAATATTTCCTGAATTTTGTTACTTCATCTCAGTCTATTTTTTGTTTTCCTTCTTTCAATATGTTGGTGTGTCTCTTGAAAAAGCAAAAAAGGATCACCTTAGATTTTTCTGGCCAATTGACCTATTTGCAAATAATACAGGTATTCTATTTGAAAAAACTGAAATATCGATATTTGAAAATTATAATAATTTAATAACAAAGTGCGTATGTTTAGTAATTTTTCGAAATTATATTGTATCACAAATTTTAAAAATAACCCTATTGAGGTTTTTTTTATTTAACTTTCCATTGTTACAAAAATTTAAGAAAATTTGAATAACGTGACAACATCGCATCGGGATTTCAAAAGTAAACTGTGGCTATAACACCTCAAAGATGACATACCTATCAAAGAGCGCGCGCTTAGTGATTCATTCTGTATATTAAATTTATTCGAATTTCATTTATCAACGGATGCAGTTGCTAGTATTTTAAGCCACTGAGTACATCACATTTTAAATCAACATCACTATTTTCAAAATCTTCAGTTTATTCAGAAATGTGTCCTGTAAATGATTTTTCTGAATCAACAAATGATTGTAGTGTAAATAATCCATTTTTATATTTTAGGGCAGATTTAATTTGATAAAAATTTTGATTTTAAAATTTATGAGGCATTGAACTTTTTTTATTGATTAATAATAATCTGAGATTGCAGTTATTTTGTTCTTCCGATTAAATGATGCTTTGTACATTCTAAGTTTTCATCAAAAGCAGCGTTCAAGCACTTTGTGCATCTTGACATTACTAGTTCCGGCGGTAAAGTAATATGCAATATCAATTGATACAACAATAATAAAATAAGTACCACGAAAATTCGTCAGAAATAGTAAAATATGCAAAATAATCTCAAATACACACCATGAGTTAACACACACAACAAGCAACTGAAATATGCAGAAATTAATTGTCGTTAAACGCTTCCAATCACCTGTATTCGTTTCTGAAAGATTAGATTGTCGTGTTAACACTATTATAGGTAAACTGTTTGTAAATAATCAAATAATGGTTTTCTCGTCTTCCTGAATTTTTCTGAAAAATTAGGTTGAATTCACTACATACGTTTTTACTTTTTGATGAACTTGAAAATCTGCTTCAGGTGATAAAATAAAGAAAATAGGCTTAATTTAGGTTCTGTACATGATGTAAATTGTTCGTGAGTTATACCGTAATTATCAGTCATTTTGAATGCAAAAATTTTCAAATTGGGTTATTAATAAAAACTGTTCTATATAATTTGTTAAATCACTTTTAATAGGAATGTGGCGGATGTGTGGAGAAGGATTATAGTTTTGTCCTATTTTCACCTACTACAACTCATCTCAAAATATCCTCCACATTTCCAATAAAAATAATTTAACTGTACAGCAATCAGATCCTCAAACAAATAACCTAATTTTAAAATCTTTACATTCGAAAATGACCGTCTGGTAATTGTGGTACAACTCACGACTAATCTTTCTCTGTATGATCCAGTACCTACCCAACTCTTATCAATTACAACCTGAATAACCTCCCAGCAAAGCATTACATCCAGTGCTAAACCTGAATCTAAAGTGCTAAAGTGTTTAGTTGTTTTATCACTTATTTGATTAAAATAACTGAAGTGGAATCGGAAAATAAGGGATACAATTTGTTTTATACTTTGGCTCATATTGCATTATTGAGCTTATTGTGCATATTTCTACATATTTCTGCATATTCAAGCTCACCAAAACACCGAACTGAATAGTCTAATGTTTCAGTAAATGTTAAAAAGACGAGAAGGCCATCATTTAATAAACATATAACTGAACGAGAATCGGATAATAATGAGCTTCAACAAACCTAACTTGATGGTCCGAAAGAAGAATACCTAGCAGTAAGGAACTTCTGAAATATGCATATAATCTCTGAAGAATCTACACTCAATTAAAACTGACTGACGCTAATCCATTTTTGCATATTTGTATGTATATTTGGATTCACATTGCATACTCTACGATTTCTGACGAATTGTGCTTAACGTAAATTAGGACTAATCTGTTTATTTTCAGATTCATCAAAAAGTGGAAACATGTTCATTAAATCGAATCTGATTTTCCAGTAAACTTCGTAACTACGAGACATCAACAGGAAAAACTCATCGATTTAAAATTACCGTATCAAACCGAATTTTGCCTGATGCGTAAAATTCGTCTCAATTTCTTTCATTACTCTCACCAAACCCCGACGTCAATTCACTTGACGAATAGTTCCGCTATTCATCAACAAACAAACCCCCGGCACATCTCGCATCTCACTCTGCCCATCCCCCGGACCTTTCCCCGCGGGGTCGCCAAGGTCAGCGCGCGCCCCCGAGTCCGGGAATGCCCCGGAGCGGCGTCCGTCCCCGATGTCGCGCACTTCCTTCGCGCAGCCCCGCCCCCAAAACACCAAGATCGTCATCTGGGGCCCCTTAGACGCCGCAATCTCAGTTATTAGTGCGCCGTTTAAGTGTCCGGTATGATGGCTTCCCCGGTCCAGCTCCAGTACCAGGCGAGTAGTGCGCAGCCGCAGGTGCGTGTACCTAATCATAGTAATCTGCCTCGACACCCTTTCATTAGTGCTTACGATTTTATTAATGCTCTGCTACGATGATTACCGACTGTTGATTGGTAATTTCATTACGGTTCGTTTCGATGATTGCAAAAACTGTTATGTGTGTGCTGCAGAGGCGATATTTTGGCGTGGATGGGATTACGAAATTTCGGGCGCAAAGGCGATTGTTGCACGATATGGTTCCGGTGGTTTTCCGAGGTTTTTCACTAGTCGAGCGGAAAAATAGCGACTTTTGTGTTTAGTGGAAACACTTGGTCAATCTGGCTCTGGTGGACTCTTGTGCGTTCGCCGACGATAAAGAGTTTTCTTTGTATTTTCTTTTTTGTGATAACTAACAGTCGTTCTTATTAGGAATGGATAATGTTGTTTCGTATTTCCCAAAGAAAAAGCATTTTTTTTATTTTTGGCTGGTCGCGTATCTATCGCACCAAACACTTGAAAACTTTGATTATCTTCAGGTAAAAAAATATGATGTCTTTTAAATTATTCTTAAACAAATCTCACTTAAAACGTGGAGCGCGCTACTTCTTTACCGGTCAGGCCAGCTAATAATTATTCATTTTTCAAATTCAAATTTCACGGTTTATCTCAATACTTATATTTCAGTGGATATCTTGATCATTGATCTAGGTTGTAGATCATTACTAATTAAATTAATTATTCATCCTCTCCGGAAAATTAATGACGATCATTTCAAAAAGTTACTAAATAAATCTTTATCAATAAATAAACCAACAAAAAAAAGTATCTCAAAAAATTAATTAAAAATCGAAGCATTTTATCTGTTATTGGAGAAATGTCTCATCTAATTTCCCAAGATTATCGTAAGATCTATTGTACATTTATGGTAAGTAAATCATCTTTTGAGTAAACATTTGTTTATACTTAAAGGGTTCCATTCTCAAAAAATTCGTTTCATGTTAAGTCTATAAGTTTGTCGGTATTGTCAACTTTCCGTTGATATAACTTATCTTAATTTGAACAAACATATGAACCAGCAATGAGAAAAAATTATGCTTAGAACTATATTATTAAATATTCAAATTTTTCTGAAGCAATTAACCCGAACTAATGTAACAAAACAATGCATGAACGACGAAGCTAACGTTGCCATTGGTTATTATAGACAATACAAGGTAGACTCGGTTGGAATTTAGCAGGCGCCTTTCACGTGATCATTGCATCTATCGGGCGATTCTACTACAAATGTATACATTTTCTTGGAAAATCTGAGCTTATTAAATCGATATCATCAACATGTTTTTTTAAACGTGAACATGTTAATTTGCAAATGAAACTCATTTTAAATAAGTACTGATTAATTATGTACTAGTAATTAAATGAAAACGTTTAGTTTGTATACACATATATGGTATGTAACAAATTATAATAGACATTTTTTACCAAACTATGTGACTTGTGTTTCTTCGAAAACCGGTAAGTTTAATACCAACACATGACAGCGTAGCTGCTGAGACGGGTGGACCGTTGCAAATTTTAGATGTGCGAATTACTATACGCACATCTAAAATTTTCGTGATTACGTGGAAAGAAATTCTTTCCTAAATTATTCCGATATATTTGAAAAATTATGTCAAGTTGCATCCAGGGAAACGTCTAAATATTTTGTTATATAACATTCAGCTTGGATTTTTTTTTTTTTGTTACGTTTTATCAAAAAAATAATTTCTAGTGCTTTCCTTTATAAAACAAATATTTCATACTTGTGATGTATTTAATTCATCTGTTTGCCACATTTTCTTGGTTAGTAATCAAGATCTGCTGCAATTTGCATTGTAATTATGCTTTCGTTTTTCGTATCAGTTTAAGAAAACTTCCTGAAATACAAATACAATACAATTTTATTGTATTTCTAAGATTTTTTTGAAAGACTGCAATAGTTGACAATAGATAATCTTAAAATAAAACGGTTCACACATAAAATTATTTGATACGTTCTCCAGTAAGCAGTTCTAATGCGTAAAGAATATATTGAATAACAGCGCATTTTTTAGTAAAGATTTTCTGAGACGTCATTAATTTTCTGAAGGTGATAAATAAATGGGTATTGGTCACTTGTGCGCCGCGGTTAGTTTACCCCATGTGGCAGGTTCAATCCCCGCTTGCGCGCCAATAAGGAATTGATTATAAAGGGTGTTATTGCCTACAGGTACTTAGCTGATAAGCAGCCTCTTACATCATAAGTCCATAAGTTTCACAGTACGTCAAGCATTGCAAAGATGAAAAAATCAGCAGATCTGTTTTTGTAAAAAATGTTTCTTACGAATTTCTAAAAAAAATTAAGTAATTTCTGAGCTAACTGTTTCATTTGTTATAAGATGAACTTATTGGTAGAAAATTTAAGAGAAACAAAACTATTTTTAGCTTTATATATACCGACTGAGTCAGCAAAAAGGGGACACCTGGAATAACTTTTTTATCTATGAATCTATGTTAATGGAACTTGGTTTATAAATAAAGGCGAATCAATTCCATGTATGCAACACTTCATTAACATAAAATAATAATTGATAGAAAGCACGTTAATTAAAAAAATCGTGATAATTTTTTTGTTTAATTATCTGATTTTTCATTTTTACTATAAAGCTGAGAAAAAAAAATTCGGTAAAGTTCAATATTTATTAATTTTGATACGTTTTATTTGCTTTTGTAAAATAATATTTTCTTAAAACATTTTCTGCGCTTTGTTTTCTAGAAACGTTTTTACGTAAGTTACAAAGCATCTATTTTACGTAAAGGTACACTAGGGAACAAGGTTAGTCGGAAAATTAATTATTTTTTTAAAGAAAAACTGCTATAATTCACAAGAATTAAATGATATTTTTGCAATATACCTACTTTTTTCCGTTGCTTTTTTTTAAGTAGTGAATTTATGTATCCACAGGGACTATTATTCTCTATTTACAAATTTAATATCATTACTTTTAGCCCATGAATAAAAAATAAATAAAGTTATTAGAATTGTCCCCTTTTAGCTGCCTACCCTGTACATATGTTATGATAAAAAAAATACGTGTGTAATTGTGTGAAAGTTAAATTATTTCTCCGAATATTTATTTACTTTAAAGTGACTAACACCCACATAAACTACTACGACAGGCCATAACTATTATGGTACTAATCCTTAAAATCACATACAGATTTTACTTAATATTCTGTTGTCCTCAAAATTTCTAGGAAACTCGTTATTTAATTTCTGATTTAAAGTGTGAAATTTTGAGCCAATTTTTAATTTTATTTATTTATTTTTAATTTTCATTCACTTCATTTGGTATTAATATCATACCATAATACCATTTGGTCGAGAAAAAAAGTCGCCCAACAACCTCTGAAATTTAATGTTAAAAAAAATGGTCGGAGATTATTTCGACAGAACTTTCCTCGCCCTTGAAGTATAAATTCGACAAATCCCGCTTCTTGAAAAAATTATAAAATTTGATTTTCCGATTTTCTTTTTTATGATTATCTCTATAAAGTAAAAACTAACAGCACAAATAACACCCTCGCAGCCCCTGCGCCAAGAATTTGCGCCCCCAAGTCCGGACCATTTCAAATATATTTAAAGCAGTTAACCAACGGGAAAAACATCCTCTCAGCACTAATAACACGCTTCAGTTCAAGTGTTTATGTTTATTTACGTAGAAATTAGTTTGATTTGAATAAGTTTGTCTCTTCAAAACATTATATATACGTAAATACATAGTTTAAAATGTCCCAGAATTAAATTAGTTTTTGATAGTTAATGAAATTAGCATCACTGGAACAAACAAAAAACGCGAATATCTTTGAAATGTCAAATTCATAATTCGTCTTTATTTTGTTTACAGATGTCGCCGTTAAATCTTCTCGCCACCACTTGCACCCGAATGTACCAATCACAGCCGTTCCTCCACTCTCAAGTATCTCCAAACTCCACCACTTGCAGCAGCGACAGTTACGTCTCCCAGGTACCCCTCGAAGCGGCTCGTTCCCCCTTGGAGTTCTCCCCGCACTACCAACCCGCCTACACTCACAGCTACAACAACCCGTGCTGGTTCCAGCATTCGCCACCTCCTGCCGACATCGCCACCAGCGGTTACCAGCCCCAGCCCCAGCACCAACAGCAATATCAATGGCCCCACCAAAACACCTACATGTCAACATTCCCATCGATGATCAAGCCCGAAATGCCCATCGTGGACTACCCCACCTACCCCTCCAAGGCCCGAAGATGCCTCAAATGCCAATGTCCTAACTGTATAAACGAAGAAAACGGCTTGAAGAAACCCTCGTCGAAAAAGGTGCACATTTGCCATTACCAAGGCTGTGATAAAGTATACGGGAAGACTTCACATCTGCAGGCACATCTGAGATGGCACACGGGGGAAAGACCATTCGTTTGTAACTGGCTTTTTTGCGGGAAAAGGTTTACCAGGTCGGATGAGTTACAAAGGCATTTGCGGACACACACGGGGGAAAAACGTTTTGCGTGTACGGTATGCACGAAGAGATTTATGAGATCAGATCATTTGGCAAAACATGTGAAGACACATAAAAATAGCAAGAAATCTGGTACGCAGAGTGAGGTGAAAAGTGAGGGTGTAACAACGCAGCAATACGGTAGAGGGAGTCCGGGAGGGGTGGCTTATGGGGGATACTCTGGTTATCTTTCGACAGTGATAGGCGAACAATGAATTTTTTTTGTATATTGGGGACCAGTGCAAATAGAGTAAATGGCCCACTATGTGTTTGCTTTGTATAGAGTCAAGTTTGTATTTTTGTATAGTCGTTGCTGTACATACGAAAATTATTTTAATAAAGATATGGAGATGAGAAGCAGAAACTTGTTTTTCATTTACGTTATAAAGAAAAAGAAATTCTGGTGGCGAAAGCAAAAAAAAATACGTGGTGAGTGAATATTTGATAATTTTGAAGCAAATCCATGTATGGAACCAATTATAATTTATAAAGTTACATTTATAAAATGCTACTTGGTGAGTAAAAATTCTGTAGAAAAATCACTAGGTAAGTATTGAATATCTGAAATTTTTTCTAAAATAACGTAGTGTTCTATGCAGTCTAAATGTGCAATAAGATCTCAGAACGTAAAGTGCTAGTCGAGCTGTGTAACCACACTAATGTGGCCATAATGCGTTAACTCACACGAAGTATACAAAATTTTGGCTACCGCTTTAGAACTTGTTCAAACTTAGTTCAAAAAAATAAAAACAATCTTTTAAAAGTATTTTTGGAGTATATTGTCAACTACTAAAGATGACTTAGTAGAATCGAACAAGAGAACGTTTTTGGTGAAAATATTGACTCTGGAAACGAGGAGAAAAAAAATTAGGGTAGTCCAATTTTGCTACACAAAGTATCTAACTTTGTAGTGAAATTTCTAGTGTCCGACCGAAAATAGTTTTTCTTTTGTTACAATCCCTATTGTAATTTCTTAGTCTTTGACTACGTTTCAATAAATTTATCGGCAGATACGTATGTGTTAAAAAAAACCTCTTTTGCGGTACATATAGTGAAAAATTTGCCATATATTTTTTAGTCAACTCTGTATTAAAAGCAATAAAACTATTTGACTAAATTTTTATATTAGGATGCGTCTGATGAATGGCTACATTCATGTTTTCTCTTTGTTTCATGGCCAATAGAATATAAAAGTGGGTTTCGTGATTCCATCTGTCTGTCGTCTCTGTCGATTTATATTGAACAGATAATGTCCAAAACTACTGGACCGATTATTGTCAAATTCTATACGTTTATTACAAGTATCGTGCAACTGGTAAAACGGTGAGCAAAATTTGTCTTCGACCCCACAACAATATGATGACGTTACCTCAAAATTTTGCAAAATAAATTTGAATTCATTTTTTTATAATAATATACTCCTGTACGTGAGATTCATGAATCTATCTTGATTTTTTACCCTAGACATTCAGATTTTTGAAAAAAAAAATAAGTAATAACCTTTTACAATATAACTTTGAAAATACCGAATACTCTGATATCGTATAGTGAACCAAGAGCTATAAGGTTATATGGCCATCATAAAATCATCCCATTGTGTCGAAGTTAAGTTGTTTACAATAGAAAAGGTTTTAGGGTCGTAAATAACGTGTCCACTGCAGCTCGACCGGCTCTTGTGGTTTCGTTCAGGGACGGCTTTCACTAAATATGAAAATCCACCACTCCACTATTTCTTTACTACCTGCAGCCGCTGAGAGTTCCGAAATAACCACTCGCTTTGAGAGCCGGCCCTGTTAAATATGGGCAAGAAATGTTTAGAAGATGATTTATTGCCAACCGGTAAGCTTAGTGCGAACCACACAAAGGGGGTATTTATTTGCGGTCAACTACTTTTATGATGGCCATATAACCTTATAACTCTTGGTTCACTATACAAACGTTAATTAAAATTTACCTTTTTTTCCTCGTCCCTAAACCCTATCTAAATTGTGCAAATTATTATAAGATTATACTGTGGTTTATCACTGCAATCATATTTTTTAGAATTGCTTATATAGAGTGACTTAAAAAATTAATCAATAATAATACAATTTATTCTGTTGGTCAAATAAAGAACGTTCACCCCATTGTTTAGAAAACTGGAAACAAAGTCGTGTTATATGAGTGTTACACTACATTTATCCAAATTGATATACGTGTCCTTCCTAAAACGATGATGTTATCACATTTTTTTTTTTATAGAAAACATAACTTGAGACATACACAAACATATCTTCATTTTCACTTATAAGGGTTATAATAAAATAAATAAAATTCTTAAAATCAGATTTCCTAATTTTTCTAAAAAGTTGAATATCTTCTAGTGTATTTCAGGGACGAGGGAAGTTCTGCCTAGACCAACTTAGAAGATTTTTTTTAAACTCGTACACATCTGCAGCTAAAATTGACAGACACATAGTTTTAGACTTAAAAATGTTAATGAAAAATTACAATACAAGAAAATTTTGGTTTTGGCCGATTTTTTGAAAATCCAATTTCGGATCGAAATGGACCGAAACCGAAACAGAACCTTCGGTCGGACAATAAGCGTAAAATAAATTGCTTGAATTGTATTGAAAATATTGTTAATTTTTGTAGAATATAAATTAGGTCCTTAGTAAAATCTCAAGTTTTGCAATTGTAATTTACTGCTTTAAGTTGAATCATCACTATTATTTTAAAATCGGGCTCTCATTGGGAAATCAACCACACTTTGTAATGTGTAATTAAAAAGTACAAACATCATTTTGTAAAAGTAACCGTTCTGTATGTGATAGGGATAACTTCCTTTTTATATGTTAAATATGTATATGGTAGTAATTTATAGAAAACTACACAAATAAGTCAAAAAATAAAGTTTAACAAGAAAACAACCCAAAAGTATTAAAAATAAAAACACGTTCAGCATATTATCTCGACTTTCTAGATATACAGGATGTTTCATCGAAAATCATGTGACAAAATTTCTACTATTACCAGTATAGAAAATAAATTCAGTAAATCAAAATTTGTGAGTACTTTCAGGAAAAAAAGGCATTGTTCGGTTGGTATAATTACGTTTATGATGTTCAAAAACTTTATTTGTCCTGTAGATGTTCCTTGTCGAATTTGTTTTCTATTGGGTTGGCAGCTTTCAAAAAATTTATTCGATGTATTTGCTATGAAACAATTGATGGATTTGTTAACTTAGTTGCAAGGACTGTTGTCACGAAAGTGAATCATACTCGATTCAACGAGTACATAATCTACATTTTTAAATTGATTTAAAAGTTTTGATATATTTTGAAACACTTGAAGTTAAAACTTGTTATTATTGCTGAGAGCCCATTTTCCCCGTTTGTTATCTGCTTTAGATATATTTTGCGTTCCCCGCACTTGTGCAATTTGCTCAACCCCTTACAATTTATTTATGCTGCTGCTTTTTACTTTATAGAGATTATCACAAAACAAACATCGCAAAATCTAATTTTGTAATTTTTCGAGGAAACGGGATTTGTTGGACTTGTACTTCAGGAGCGAAGGAAGTTCTATCAAAATGCACTTCTACCAATTTGTATTAATTATCACTAGTAAATTTTATGAAATTATTATGTTGTTAAAGGAACATCTAATAAAAAAATGTAAGTAACTCGTTAACGAAAGGTCTCTAGAATATTTTTTTATTTACAGAGCACCTCGTTAAAAATCTTCGTTGTCGTCCATTAAAAGATCATCTTGGGCGTCAATTACATAACAATTTGATAACGGTTTTCACATTTTAATTTACCTTAGTTTTTTGTGCAAAATTTGATGACTGCAAAAAATTTGCCAGTCGTAGTGACCAGAAATGTAATTCCATTTCTCATCTTTTAACAACATTTTCAAAAACTGTTGTGCAGACGATGTGCATAAAATATATACCTTAATTTTTAATTTATCAAACAAAAAATTTCGAAGAATCAATCACGCATGCTCAATGTTCCTGACTCGTAATTCTGATTTTTTTTATTCATTTATGAGTAGTAAAGATGAACCTGATATTTAAAGTTCCGTAATTTTCTACCTCCACAAATGTGCTTACTCCTTAATTAATTTTTTGCAAATACTGTTGTTAGCATTATATTACACATCATTAGAGAATAAAATATATGTTTAGACGATTTCTCAGAAAATTCTTCTATAACACTGAAACAGAATTCACGCGTTTACACTGCCTGAAACCACTGAAATTCTGTCCTCAATCTAGCGGAAATGAGCTTATTTAAAAGCCGTTTATCAAACTAAAGTGATTGCTTCAACATACGACATGTTTTCCGCTATAAATTTATTATCTGCATATCAATTACAGGTAATATTAATTAATTGTATTTTTTCTATGCACGTTCTCTGAATAATTTAAAGCAAATTGGTTTCTTAGTAAAACGTGTTTGTTAAGACACGTGATGAAAAAAATTCGTCCGACTTATGAACAACGGAATTGTTTGATTACTCCCTCTGGTTCCAAATGACCGGATAGTGCTTTTTAAGTGTTTTGAAGCCGTTATATTCTATTAAAACTCATTAAATTTTGTACATTTTGATGATTAATTTCAACAAGTTGATTAAAATTGTCCGGCTTGGGCTAGATTATAGAGTCGACACAAGAGCCGTATTTTAAGGCAATGATTAATGGGAGGATGTGATGTGGTCGAGTGGTCACATTTAAACCATTGATTTTCGACAGCATCAACTAAAGTGTAAGGAGAAAGCCACACGTGACTCCAGAGTTTTAAACACCAATTTTTCGAAATCTACAAATGTCAATTCCATGAAAGTTCGTTGCTTTTTCAATGGGAAAAATTGAGTTTCCGCTCAAGTATTTGTAAGGATTACGTAAGTTTTACCAGTATCAGAATAACTGAAATTATCTGAAATGTGTTACCAAAAATATAATAGGTACAAGAGTTCGCTCACTCTATCACGTAATTTATTCATGTTCTTTGATTCTAGTGCAAATTAGATTAAAAAAATATTCTGTCTTGGCATTTGATTCACAATTAGGTGATTATTGTTTCGATCGCGCATAGTTTTCACAACATGTTTTGATTACTTTCTCTGAACGTAAATACCAAGGATCCTTAGGAAATATCTTTATCATTATTATTTTGAATACTAGATTTAATAAAGTGTTATGATATACAAAGATGCTCAATTTTTTTAAGCACAACAACAACACTACGTATGTAAATTTATCAATGTTGATGGAGCTGAAAGATTATTGTAGCTATTTTAAAATCCAACACAATCTGTGTACCTTTGAAAAACATTTTTCAGCTGAACAGTTTTCACTACGATATGTC